AGAGAGAGAGAGAGAGAGAGAGAGAGAGAGAGAGGGAGAGAGGGAGAGAGAGAGAAAGAGACTCTGATATGGTATCAATGAATAGAGAGGGAGAAAAGAAGCCAAAATATTGTCAAATATGTAGGCTGAGAAAAAGACAGACAGACAGACTTGATTGAAATGCCGAGAAGATTCCCTAGATTGATTTACTTTCTCTGTCTCTTGAATTGGCTGAGACTATCAAAATAGTTGATGGAGGACGTAAATGATGTAGCAATAGATTGATCGACTGCTTAGTTGACTGAAGGACTGATGGATAGATAGGCCGTATAGAAGACAATTGAAACTAGACTTAGATAAGCGTAATGGAACAATTGTTGTATTGAATAGATAAGCAAAAGGAATGGGACAAGTGTTTGCTCTACTCCCATTATTTTCGAATCTCCCATCCCTAATTGTGATTCATTTAGATTCATAACTAAAAAATGTTAACATAATCAACATTCCCATGTTAGCTGTTCACTGTTGGCTGTTGGCTGTTAGCTGTTAGCTCATCGATTGCTACTGGAAGAAATGCAGATTCTGTAGACTGGGCAAACATTTGGCCAGCCAAGTGTCTCGGGCTCACGCAGATTTACAGTTGCAGTCGCAGGCCAATGCAGTCGGCGGTGCAGTGCAGTAGCTGCAGCAGTTTGCAGTTTGCAGTTTGCGATTTGCTTTGCTTTTCGCATTTGTGTGCCACAACAGTAAAAAGTTTTTGGACTGCGAGAGACCCGAAGCTGGACAAGAGCGAGTGAGATTTCAGGAATTGGCGCGATTTTGACAGAGCTGCGGGCCGAGCGACGTCCAGCTCAAACTCAAATTCAAACTCGAACTCGAACTCGAACTCTGCGCTGAAGGAAGCTGCACACATGAATGCTAAAAGTCGCACTTCTTCCTCTTCCTCCTCAGTTTTGCCTAGTCCGAGCCAAAGTTGCGGCCGCAGTCGAGCGTAAACTGTTTGGCCAGAGATCGCACCTAAACAACGCGCCTTAAATTTACTAAACACGACTGACTCACAGAGCCGCAAGGCAGAGAGCTACGGCCAGAGCTCGACTCCGGCTCTGGCTCTGGCTCTGGCTCTGGCTCTGCAGCGGCTACCAAATTCTTCCACTCTGGCCCTGTTACAGTTGCATTTGACAGTTGGCCAACGGCGTTTTAACTGTAAAAATTGCTGCTGCAATGGTCAATAAGAGCCCAGCAGCACGGAAGCTGCGTTGCCCGTCCGGCTGGGCTGCCAAAGAGAGTATATTGGTTTGAAATATGTGCGAGCTGCCCTCAGTGTGAGATTGTGTTGCTGAATATGGGGAGTATATTGGTATATATGTTGCGTGTATTGCTAGGTATGTGAGCTGTTCTCTTCTTATCGAACCTACTCTTTCACATAGTGAATATAGAGAGTATATTGGTTTCTGTTTGATATATGTAGATTGTATTGCTGTGTGTGGGGTGTGCCCTTTTCATCATCACACTCTTTTACCTAATGAATATAGAGAGTATATTTAGCGTTCTTCTTATTCATTCTTATCCTTAGACTTGCTCAGTGCATAATGAGAGTAATTCGCTTTCTCAGCTGCTGCCACTCAGTCAACCGTCTTTCCTTATCATTATACTCATCCACGCATTGAATAAGAAGAGTACATGAGTTTTGTTGTATAAGAATTTTTGTGAGTACCTCTCTAGCTATTCGTTCGTTCGTCTCTTCTTGTGCTTGTGTGTGTGTGTGTGTGGAAGAGTGTTTGAGTTAGCTTGGACTCTACTTTAGCTCGTTCTATCGCACGCCCACATTGAGAGCTAAGCAACCAAGGCGAGTATATGGATTTTCTAGTAATATTACTCGCCTGCCTAGAAATTTCCCATTTAAATTCTATATTGTTGACTATAATATTGTAATGTATCTCTTCCTCTTCTTGAGCGAGCATTGGGTCGTCATTTATGTCCCTCCCCATATGCTCTGCCTTTGCTTTGCTGCCTCTTTTTTCAATATTTTTATTCAATATTTGACAAATCTACAATGTTGCAAGCTGCAGACAGACAAAGCTGTCTCTACATGAGTGCATGTGTGTGTGTGTGTGTGTGTGTGTTTGTTGCGTGTGCTGGCTTGTGTGTGTGTTATCTGCGTCATGTCGTGAGCATATCGGGCGCGTCAAAAAATCGCTAATGAACAGTAGCTGCGCTGGGTGTATGTGTAAAAATTAGCACTTGGCTGCCAACGCTTTAAAAGCGACTGAGCAGCAACAAGACAGCAACAGCAACAGCAACAACAACAACAACTACTACTACTTCAACTGGCTTTAGTCTAAGTCCATCAGAGACGACAGCAACAACAAACAAGAAACATTACAACAACAACAACAACTTTCCCGCTCTTTATGCCTTTTTCAGGGCGTTTACAGGGTATACTACACTTTGAGCAAATGCTTGTGGGAGATGTAGAGAAACAACATGTAAGAGCTGCTCTAACTTGATAAATTCTCCAAGTCTAGCATTCGGAGATATTCCAGTCTACTCTCTGTCCACTTTTAGCTGAAGGAAAATATTTATATGGGCTATGTTTGACATACAACAACAATATGATCAAGTTTAGCAACAAAGTATCAGCCTCAAAAAATACTCAATTCACGCGTGAATGCTTAGAAAATAATTGAAGGCTGCAGCCAGCTCAGATTCAGCTCAGGCTTTACTTCCTCCTTGGAAACTGGGCAAGCTCAAGGACTGCAAAAGCTATTGCAAGCGTCTTGTTTAGGCATTCATGCATATATTGGTATATAACAATGCAGATCTTGGTTTGTTTGGACTATAACAATATCTCAATCTCATTCATTCTCTGCCAACTCAGGCGAAGGTGAAACAGCTTGGAATCAATGAGAAAATATATGTAAGTAAATGCCGACTGCCAATGCAAAAGGAATATCAAAGTACAGTAGATATGAAAAGAAGAGATACAAATTTAAATCTAGTCAGATTAGACACGATATGCTCTAGTATTGCTTAGATCATGGCATTGACACTATCCAACCATATCCCCAAATCTAAACTTATGCGACGAGCCCATCTGGCAACCCTATAAAGTTGCCCATATGTATTATATATACTATATAGGTATGCACATTTTAAGCATTTCCAGGGTATCTGCTAGTCACTTACTTTATACCGTAAACACCTCTGCTTCATGCGGCGCTGCACTCGTTCCTCGTTTTATGAGCTGTGAGACTGTCGCAGCACTCGTAGCAGCAGCTACTAAATGCCAGCTAGTTAGCCAACAGTCGCCAGCTTCCAGCTTCCAATGCCTCTTTCCATTGGCATTTCCAGTTTGTGAGGCACCGCCTCACCTGTTCACCTGTTGCTGCTGCAGCGGCTACTCGAATCGAACCTTGTGAAGTTGCCGAAATTTTAACAAGTCCATTTCGAAAACAATAAAAATCATTCAGATGCTGCGCGGGAAGCGGCCAAAGATCAAAGTCGGCAAATGGAGTAAGCGACTAGAAAGGGTATCGAGTAAAGGGTGTAGGGTGTAGATATTCAGCAATCGCTTGCATTACTCTATAGACGGCTACTACTTTAAGGGATTGAGCTAGGGTATGTCCAGTATATAGTGTGCTGATATACCCTTTACTAAACACTTTGCATTGGCTTCACAAAGTACAGTCGCCCACACAGAAGATGGTTATTTACTCTATATAGTCTCTCATTCATGGTAGGGAAACTTAGGTTTGATTGTCGACTAGCTATATACCCTATAGACAGACTTGGGCTCACATATAAGGTATGCTCTACACCCTGCATAGCGTATAGAGTGTTCATTTATGCTTCACATATGGCCTCACATTTCACTTGCAAGAGAAAGTGCACACAGATCTCTCCATTCAAGTAGATTATATACTCTACACATATGTATACCTCATCATTAATATGGGATATTCTGTATCATCAAGTTTCTCACGCCTATGCACAGCACATCAGCTGCACTACAGACCCCACCTACACCTTATATACTCTACCTTATGAAAAATTGCAATAAGCTGCTAGAAAGAGTATGTACTACTACATATTACATACATATATACATATGTATGTACATTCCCTCAGACCTTATGCGATTTCCAATACTTTTCGCTTTCAACAGAACTTGCACAAACACCCACACAGTGCCCTTCACACACACACTCACACACATGTATACACTCTCTGTGTATACCCTACCGCTGTGCATAATGATTATGAACGAAATATCCATGACAGCATCTCTTGTCCAAGAGTCGTGCCCAAAAAGGCAAAAGCCATAGACGAGAGTTCGCATCAACTGGCGATGAGTAAATGTTTGACTTGTAGCAGCAGCAGCAGCAGCGCAAGAGTTGAACACACACACACACACACACATACACACACATGCATGTCTCATACACGTACAACTCTCTCACAGGCAGCGCCTCGCACATACATGTTAAAAAATTCCAGACGCTGAACTCAGCTTCAGTTACAGATCTCAGCACAAGCATCGACTTCTGCTTCTTCTTCTTCTCTTTTTTTGTATTTGTATTTGCCTATGATTTCGTGTTTTCTTTTATATATATACCTCCTCTATATATATTGTGATATTTCCCAAAAAAATATAAGAGTAGACAGACAACGCGTTACGTAGCCAAAAAGGTAAAAATTGTTGTTCAAAGGGGTTAAGCGCACAGCCTCTGCTAGCCAATGTCTATCTGAGTGTGTGTGTGTGTGTGTGTGTGTGTCTCGCACCTCTCTGAGCTGCCGCTGCTGCCTCTGCTGCTGCTGCTGCTGCTGCTGTTTTTGGCATCGTTTTTTTTTTCTTTTCTCCTGCGTTTTGAATGACAGGTTGTTGAAAAATTGAATTCGATTCGAGCGGGCCAAAACAGTTCGCGCTCAGCTCTAAAACAAGTCGGAATCGAGCTCAACTCGCGCGGCGCGACGGCAACAGAAATCAGTGAGAAAAACGCGAGAACAACACGTAAATAAAATACAAATTAATAAATAACAAATAAATCACATAAAACATACAAAAATTGCGCATTCGGTGTCAAAAACTCGAACGGAAAAACAAACAGAGAATCGCGTCGGCATTTCGCCTTCGACAGTGAGCGCCAATTGTGAGTGTTCCGCCTCCGTTTCCGCCCTTTGCATTTATAATTCGGCTGAATGCCGCAACAGTATTTAAATTTAATCAAATTCTATTTCGCATCTAAGACTCAGAAATTGATTTAAGCAGAGGGAAGAAAGTTTCAGCTGTTTCTTTTTTGTCAATATTTATGTAAAGTTTGTTTTCTAAAAATCTAGAATTGTTTGCTGGGAATACTGCTTAAGACAGATGCGAAACACAGATTGGACAGTGGACAGACTTTCAGTTCAGTTCAGTTCCAGATCAATTAAATAGTAATTGTTAAACACTATAAATTATGATGATAATAATAATGAGAACTTATACAAGATATGAAATTGTGAGCATCTGTGAAATCAGCGAAAAGAGCTTAAAGACTTCTATTAGTTCAAAGATTTCCATTTAAAGTGTTTGTTGAGTTATTGCTCCTCAGTTATAGATCCATTTTAAATATTCCAGCTCTTAACCAAAAAAGAAATCCATTGTATATGCAAATATTATTATTCAACAACATCTCTTAACTAGTCTCTCACTGAAGTTTCCTCTCCTTCTCTCTCTCTTTCTATTTTCTCCACTTTTTACCGACGAGCTCTCACTTTTGCCCTCTCTTCATATTCCCTCTCTCACTCTTTGTCTGTATCACATACTATAACTTTCTTCAACTTATATATCTCTCTCCCTCTTTCAAACTACTTCTCCCACTTGCTATTGCTATATATAACATTTGCTAACTTTAAGCTAATCTCTCTCTCTCTCTCCTCAATTCTTTTCCTCCAACTCTACTCGATAGGCCCCAAGGATTGTGATCTACCCAAGGCAGCGATCACAGCTCTGCACGCGGGCGTCAACAGCTTCGGCCAACTGCCCGTGCCACCAAATATCGCTGATTTGGGTGGCGGTGGTGCTGGACCTGGTGGTGGAAGTGGACCAGGTGGCGGCGGAGGAGGAGCAGCAAGTCTGGGCGGCGTTGCGCGGCTGCATGTGACGGGCGGACTGTGCGATAATAGCAATGCCCTAAATGGTGCAAGCAACCACAACAACAACAACAATAATAATAACAATAGCAACAACAACAACAATAGCAACAACAACAACAATATGCAACAACAGGATCAGGTGAGCAAGCGCTGAGCGAGAGCGAGAGAGAAAGAGAGCGTGTGCGAGGGGGAGGGGGAGGCAGTGTTGCCCTATCTCTCTCACTCTTACTATGCCCACCCCTCCACTCTACTCCCCTTGCCGACCCTCTCTCTCTCTCACTCTCACGACAAGCTAAAGAATTTTTTAATAATCCATGTTCTTTTCGATGTTTTTTTCCTCAAAAAAAAAAAAAAAAAAAAATCCGATTCGAAAACCAATTAAAAAAATCGTTCAAAAAATCTATGCGAATGTGTAAATTCTGTGTGTAAAAAATCAAATAAAACATAAAATATATATCTTATGTGCAATGATAAATAATATAAAAAAAAGTAAGTGTGATTTTATTTCTCTATTTAAAGAAAAAAAACAAAAGTTTTTTTATTTATTTTGTATCGTTTAATTTGTAGTTGAAATAATTTAGTGCCTGTTATTATTCAATTGAACTTAACTCATGTTGTTGCTCTTGTTGTTGTTGCAAATTTGCACAGATTTGCTTTTTCACAATACTAAAGCCACGCCCCGTGCGCCCCGCTCTGGCCATCTGCTTGTCTCTTTGCAGCACCTGGATAAAAACAAACAGAAGCGACATCGCACACGTTTCACACCAGCTCAATTAAATGAGCTGGAGCGCTGCTTCTCCAAGACCCACTATCCGGACATCTTCATGCGCGAGGAGATCGCCATGCGTATTGGCCTAACCGAGTCGCGTGTCCAGGTGAGTTGACCCCCCTCCCTCCCCCCAGTAATCAGTCACTGCTATCCCGTAAGCCTCTCTAACTGCTGGCAAAGTTTTTGCGGCTTTGCTGCGGCATTGGCCTGTCACATTTGACTCGCAGTTAGCCCCATCGACAGGCAGCTCTATCCGTCCGCCTGTCCCCCTGACACTCGAACGTTTAGCGTGACAGGACATTTTGCACGCGCTCAACCGCAGACAAAATCCATATCAAATCGCGATTTCACCTCCAACTTCTTTAAAAGTTTTCAGATATTTAGAAGGAGAGAGCGAGAGAGAGAGGGAGAGGTGGAATCGAAATTTAATAATATACACAGATAATATACACAATAATGGAATATATATATACTACTATACTATATATTATTTATTGTATCAAATTTAGCATTCGCTCCGCTTCAATCAGTTTCTATTAATATATACGTAATTCCATGCGCTCTTTATAACTGTATTGTAAATTTCTAAGATATTTACGAACCGTTTTCGCTTATATAGTATTACTAATTAGCTCATAAACATTTTGTTTATTTATTAAGCAAACAATTAGCAGGCAAATATATATGAAACGGATCTTAAAATTGTGCAGTCAATATATATTTGAAGGGGCATCAAAATGTAGCACAGATTGAGGTAATAAATTAATAAACATATAAGTAACTAAATAGAGCAAAAGTTTATAAACGAAAGGAGAAAAGTTTAGCGTATTTACTGAACAATTCATATTAGATGCAGTGGGAATTTCATCCAATCAGACTTCATTTTTACTAACTTTAATGGAGTTATAAGGAGTCTTTAATCGGTTGTCATATACGCATAGAAAGATTCCTCTTTGAATTTTCAATATGCTCTTTAACTTGTTCCTTATCTTGCGTCTCATCTGATATTCCCTATTCCCTTTTGTTTATGTTTTCCCTCTTCATTTTTATACGGAATTCTTTATTTTTATTATTTTCTGCTCTCGCTTTAATTCACAATTTTCACTCATTTTTATGAGCATTTTGGCTGCACTCGGCGCCATTTAAGCGCACGAAAATTATATTTTATTAAAGCACATAAAGTCACATTTAGACGGCGCTGTGCTCCCATCTGCCCAGTTGTCCCTCTGTCTCTCCACTCCTCTGCGCTGCTCTCCTCTCCTTGTGCGACTTATGACTGCCGCAGCCAGCACAAAAACTTTACCCACACACACACACACACACACGCAGAGTGTGAAAGAGAGAGGGAGAGTGAGAGGCCGAGAGCATTATCCTTTTGCGGCTGGCAGCCGCTCCCTTCAGGCAGGCGCTGTTGGCATTATCCTGGCTGGGCGGCATGTCCTTTGGCATTGCGGGCGGCGGGCTTTTGTTTGTTTATGCGACAATCGAATTTACTGCTTCATTAAATTTGTGTTTAAGCTTCCGCTTCCTGCAGTGAGACTGCTGTGCCTCGCCCTCTCCTGCTCGCCCGCACACTCTCACGCTTACGCTGGATTGCTGCCTTGCTCTCTTGCTCTTTCTGTGAAACTATGCATTGAATTGTTTTGCGGTTTCAATGAATGCCAAAAACTTTGCTCAGCCTTTGAATTCTAATGGCTGCCCCCCCCACTCACTCGCTGTTGCACTCGCTCTCATTGCTGCGCTCTCAGCTAAACAATTAGCTGTTGCTGGCCTCGTCTTCATTTCTGACCTAACGGATGTTTTGGTTTCAATGTCTTCGCCTCTAGTTTCGCTCTCTTCCATTTCTGCTTCGCCATGAGCCTATTTTTAGCTCTTTGCTTGCGAATAACGGATGTTTTATTTCCAATGAGTGCCAAGCAGTGTGCTTTGACTCCTGCAGGTTGTCCCTCTTGCTCTCTGGCTCTCACATGAGTGAGTGCCAAAAAGTAAACTATGACTTCTTATGATTCTCTCTCCCTCTTACTCGCTCTCTCTTGTGTCCGCTTTGGCTTAACAATTAGCTGCTGACCAAGCCGACACACACACACACACACACACACACACCCTCATCATTCTTTCTTCTTTTTGTTTGTGCCTCTTTTCGCGCGCGCCTAACGGATGTTCTACTTTGATAAATTGTTTTTAATAATTGCGTATCAGTGTCTGGCTGTTAATGTATCCTGTCTGCTGCTGCTCAAAGGGGGGGTCGCAAAAATAATGCCGGGTTGCTGCTGTTCTCCTCGTTGTTGTTGTTGTTGCTGTTGCTATTAACACGCTATAATGTTTGATTTTTCGTTTGTCGTTTGGCTTTTGCGGCTTATGGTATGTCAGCCCTTTGGATTAGCAGGGACTTATTGTAGCTGCCTCACGACTCAGCCTCTGCCTCTACTTTCCTCTACCCCGCTCTCTCTCTCTCTCCCTCGCTTAATAAAATTAGCATATAATAATAATGTTAATAAATAATAATGTTAATAAAATTAGCATATAAATTAAGTTTGCATGCTGGTTTTTATACCACTGTACGACCCACACACACATGCATTACATATTTTCTATATATATTCGAAAATCTTGAAAAAGGCGTGGCACGCCTACAATTTGAGCGCTTACATTTGATATTCACACACACGTCTGGCCCTAAATCAATCTGCAAGGATTTGCAGCTAATGACGGCATAAAGACAGCCCCAACTGCCACTTGCTAAAAGGATGCCCCAAAACACCACAAAAAAAGGATGTGGGAGTCTTAACACGTAAAGCAAGTCAAGCCAAAGCCGAGAGTGTATGTGTGAGTGTGACGGTTGTGTGTGCGTTTGTGCGTGTTGGCTGCATAAGTTATGAAGCTCACGTAGCTAGACGTGGCTGGATATAGGCAGCAGGATATGCGATATAGTTGGCATATGAGCTGCTTAATTATGCAGCAAATAATACTACACAGACTTATATATAAAACAAAAATATATTTAATATATACATATATAAATATACTTATCTAATTGAATAAGCAATAAGTGAGCTCTAATAACAGAGCAAGGCATTCACTAAATGTAAGCAGAGAACGTGTGCGTGAGAGGGAGATGAAGAGTGCTCATTAACTATAATGTCAGCATAGAAAATCAGAGTGCGGGAAGCAGATGGAGAGAGTGCACTTAATATCAGCATATGCAGGCAGAGCGAGAAGAGATCATTAACATGTGCTAGCAGAAGGAGAGTAAAATCGAATATGGGAGAAGTGCCGTTAGAGCATATATATAACATATATTCTACAGTGAATGGTTACCATGGACACACACCACTTCTGTGTTGCTGGAAGAGGAGAGTAAGCATCTATATATATTTAGTACACTATTTAGTACACATTGAATTTCAATTGGTGTACTAAAAATACAAATGCATTTATACATCAAATGTACTAAATGAAAGTCTTTTCATATAGGAAATGTTTACATACCGATACTCCCATACTACTATGTACTAATTAATGTACTAAATATAAGTTTGTACTTATTGTGACGCATTTAGTTCGATGAATGCAGAATGTAGACAAAAATAAGTGACTTAAGATAGCAGCTCTGAGCAAACAATTACCAAATCTGAATAGCTGAAAAATTAAGAGAATGAGGTGCACAAAGAAGGGAGAGAGAGAGGCTAATGGAGTTAGGGGTCAAGGGGAGGCGTGGGTTACACGGCGACTGTTTGCCCAGCGTGTGGTGCAATTGTTAATTTGTTTGTTTCACAGCTAGAAATGAACAATTTGTGTGGTGCATTAAGGCCTAAGCGTCTTAGCACCACCCGTGGCCAGGCAATATGCCACTGCATGTGGCACACGCGTAAAGCGAGGGAAAAGAGACAAATGTAGCGAGCGGGTGGAGGCGGGGCTGGGTGTGGGCTAGAGCGTGTCACACACAAAATTGACTTATCATGATTTTTACATTGTCAGAGCAATGTTTGGAATGCTTTTGCATTTATTGCTTTGTTTATTAAATTTGTTGCAGCGGGCACAGCACAGCGAGGCACGTGCCGCAAATTCTCTTCCCCTGCTCGCTGTCTCTCTGTGAATCAAATGAATTTCTCACATGATTAATTTGCCTTGGCAACTAGCCAAAAGTGGGGCGTGGCACGTAGTTAAGCAAAAGCTAGTTGGCAACTGAGGCAGCCACCGGGCAAGTGGCACACACACACACACACACACGCAGACTCAGACATTCGGCATCAAGTGGCTTAGTCGAGTGCCTCGCTACCTGGACCAAAGTTTTCCAGCTAATCAGGCACTAAAAATTGTTTAAATTCATAATTTTGTTGGCTCAGTTTGAAGGGTTTCTGTGCTGGCCGAGCTACAAATTGAATCGTCACAACTTGAAAGGACACTCGTGTCAACTTTTCGCAGAAGTAGATAACGATGAAAGTGAAGAGGAAGAAGAAATAGTAAAGGTAACGATACGGTTCAAAAATAGAGTTGTTCTAAATTAATTCTTAAAGGATTTTAATGCCGAAGCTGAAAAGGGATTTACTCCATTTTGGAAGCTTTATAAAATAAGATTTGATTTGACTTTACTTTGCTATGTTTTTATCTTACAGCCAACATAAATATATTTACACATAGTATGATCTATAAACAAATCATAAAGTTGATTCCCCCTTAACTTCTCCTTAAAATCATAATTTTTATTCTTCTTCCATTTTTCAATTGACTTTCATTGCGATTTCTTCTCATCCAAAAACTGCATATGAATCATCTCAAAATTTCACACTTATGAAAGGATATGAGGCATTCAACTCAGTCATAAAAATATGTGAAATAAAAAATCGAATTCCAATTACTCACCCCATATTTTAAGAGCTGTTAATTGTGTGTGACGCCTCAGTTGTAAAGGGTCCATAAAAGGAGTTGTTAAGGTTGCTAAACTTGTTCTGAAAAGAGGTCGAAAATTCCATACAGACAGTTTTTTATTTTGGAGTGTATATCTGTAAAATATAAAATAAGATAAGTCTCCGAAAATCGATGCCCAAAATGTAATTCTACACAATTTATGCTTAAGGCATAGATTCACCGAATAGCTTCTTCCAA